TGCAGTTAGTTATTAAAGGTATAATTTGTCTCTATGATATGCTGCTGGTAAAGTGTTCAAGCAAAAAGTCAAAAGTTAAAAGTTCAAAAAGAACAAACTTAATCAACTTTCACTTAAAGTTCTTTAAAAGCACGTAACGGGATAAATGGGTAAACTAAGTTAGCCGCTTGCATGCTTAAGCTTTATCACTGAGGAGCATAGATTATGTTTAAGTTAAAGTTACGTAAGCAAGCTTAATGAGGGTTAATACAACTTCGATTATAACTTTATTTGATATACAATATAATTAATGGATCACATTCGGTTAAGTTTCAATTTTAAAACTCTATTCATTTCGATGTGCCATTCAATGTTCACACAAATTTTTAATCCTCAACGTGAACACGCTTCAGTCACTTCGTACCGTGTATATTTATCTAGCTATACACAATTCTAAAGTATAGAAGAAACTAAAGCATATTAAGAAAATTTAGTCAGAGTATAGCCCGCGGCAGTTACGCGCCTATCAAGTTATGAAGCTAAAGATAACAGACTAAAATTCCATTTAAAGAATGAAGAAACCAGTTTGTAAGACAAAAAGGACAAAAGTTCTCACTGGACGAAAAATGGATTTGCACAAATTTTTAATTTGCTACTTGAAAATATGTCGCAAAAAATGTAAAAGCGACGAGTGAATATGGCACAAAGATGGTAAATGCCAGATTTGCATACCAAACAAGAGGGAGTCTAAATATAGCAAATGTGGCATTTGCCATCTTTGCAACAGATTTACTCCTCAGTTTTTATAATTTGCGTCATATTTTCCGGAAGCAAATTTCTTCAAATCCATTTTTTCGTCGACTGTCTATTATTCATCGGTTTCTCTTTTTTACAAGAACTACTAATTTTGATATACACCCATAATAACTGAACATTCCCACCAACCAACCAACCAACAAAGTTTAACCACAAATATCAACCCCTGACCTGTTTCTGCGTCATCCACTCAATTTCGTAGAGTGTTTCAAACCAGAAACTAAACAACAACAAATTATTTTCATGAAGTAATGAAAAATAAATAACACCACGTGAAAGTACAGCCTGAGAGTTTTCATTTGAATATTCACACCAAAGGAATTTGGTCACAAATGCAAGACTCTGAACTCTGAAGTTTGAGCTATATCGCATGTCCGCAGCTCCACCCCTTTTGAGTTGCATTTCTCTATTAAAAAAAGAAAAGCGGGAAGAAAAGCAGATCATGATTATATTTATTTGCATAAGAAGCTAAGAGAAGCGGTCCAATTTTACATTAGCCTGGTTTTTCTTTATAAGCTCTTATGTGTATTATTTGTTTTGTTCCAATGATGACGCTTTGTTGCCCACAAGATAATTCATTGACCAGTCGTGCTCTCTAAAAGCTGTTGATTTGTTTTCTAATGCTTACGGTCATAGAAACAAGCGATTACATAATTGCTGAAGCATTTTTAACCCTTCATTTAGCACGTGACTTTACTGTCCACCGTTTCTTTAGTACTCATTTATGGCACCATTGCCTGGCTCTCAAATTCAAGCTTGAATGTAAGACCCTCAAGAAGGAAGGCTGTGCCTTCCGAAATATTGGTAACAAAAAATATATATGTATTTAACAATTATTCCTCGAGCCCAAATGGGCTCTGAGTCAATAACCCATGAGGCCGAAGGCCGAATGGACTATTGACTCAGAGGCCATGAGGGCGAGAAGAATAATTGTTTTAGTAAAATCCAACTAGTTGGTCAAAAATATCCAGAATGAAAAAAATTTTAGCTAGGTTAAAGCTAGACTTTAATCCATTTTTGCCGCCAAAAAGCGCGCGCTTTTCGCTACCAGTGGGCTATAACACATAGCCTAGTAGTAGCTCAACCAATCAGAACGCAGAATTGATAATAGATCACTAGTTGGATTTTACTAAATATATATAGGCTGGTTGAAATAAAGCTGCCTGGGCCAAAGAAATGTCTATCCAAACGAATCAAAAAAGATTCACAGTCCGATTTTGGTGTACGAATCATAAAAAAGTTTAAAAAGACCAAAAGTGGACAACGGTTGGATGATAAAAAGAGATAAAAAATAAAATTTACTAAAACGCTTCGGGTCATAAGACCCTCATCAGTTATAAATAATAATACTTCAAACAAGACTTATATACTCGGTACCACAATTACTAAATTAACACTAAATATATAAAGGTTACATAACACGTTAGACAGAAAACAAAGGATAATAGTGAACAAAGGGTACGTAGCGACAGTCTGAAGATACTATTGAATGAAGGTTACGTAACATATCTTAAAGTTTAAATCAAAAGATACTAATGAACTAAGAGCAAACAATGACATGATAAAGCTGCCAAAGCGTAATAGGTTCCCAATTCATGGTCCTGAATATTCATATAGGTAAACACTTAAACACAATCCTGAAGCAGAGCCTTTAAACTAGAAGTAATAAAATCCCCACCAAAGGTCTTTGAGCAGCAAAACTAGCACAAAAATAACAGGATCCCTGAAAAGGGCCCCTAAGTGCTCCGGCAGTGTATAGTGTATAGTTATGTACCGTGAATGCGATTTTTTGATTGAAATTCTTATCGTTTATTTAATCCAAAAGCGCAAGACAAAATAATTGCGCGCTCCAGTATGCTTCTTTGGTGATAAGTAGTTTGTCTGTGTCATGATTTGAGCTAGTACGGATTTGGTCTATTTATTGAAAAGTAAAGTCAGAGAAAGTGTGTGCTGTTTTATCACAAGTTTTCTTATTAGTTTCTATGGATGATTTGTGGTTCCTGAATCTAACTTTGAATTCAGTAGTAGTAGAGCCGACATACAGGAGATTGCATTTTATGGAGTGGACTAAATAAACGACATTAGTGGAATTGCATGACAGCCGCTGTTGTGTGAAGACGGTTTTGCCAGTTTTTTTCCATTTCCCGTGGAGGGGTCTCTTTGTAAGAGATCTCTCAGTCGCTTGTAGTTATTCCATTATCGCATCTCGTCCGTTCTTAGCCGGAGTGTGGTCGTACTCGGGCATTACGTAATCTTAGTCACCGTAGCTCCGCTTGTTTACCCCGTTGTTTCGCCATTTCCTTTGTGCTAGTATGTAATTTTCTCCAGTTTGATGAAATCAAGCCTGTGATCTGGCCAATCTGTTGCGTGCAAGTTTTTCACGCTACGTTCTTCTGTATTTACTTTCGGACTAGAGCAAAATCGATACCTCTTCCATTGGTTATATCGACAGCTTTCGAATTATTTCTGTATTAGTGTACTGAGGGATATATATTCGACTAGACTTTCAGGAATTTCAGTTGCGGTACGGAAAAATGTAAGATAGCATTTTTCTAATGCATGTTGCAGCTAGTTATTAAAGGTATAATTTGTCTCTATGATTTGCTGCTGGTAAAGTCTTCAAACAAAAAGTCAAAAGTTGAATGTTCAAAAAGAAAAAAAACTTAACCAACTTTCACTTGAAGTTCTTCAAAAGCACTTAACGGGATAAATGGGCAAACTAAGTTAGCCGCTCGCATGCTTAAGCTTTATCACTGAGGAGCACAGATTATGAGAGTATAAGTTAAGGTTACGTAAGCAAGCTTAGTACGGGTTAATACAACTCTTGATATACAATATTATTAATCGATCACATTCGGTCTAGTTTTTATTTTTAAAACTATATTCATTTTGATATCCCATTCAATGTTCACACACATTTTTAATCCTCAACGTGAACACGCTTCAGTCACTTCGTACCGTATATATTTATCTAGCTATACACAATTCTAAAGTATAGAAGAAGCTAAAGCATATTAAGAAAATTTAGTCAGAGTATAGCCCACGGCAGTTACGCGCCTATCAAGTTATGAAGCTAAAGATAACAAACTAAAATTCCATTTAACTTAGGGGAATGAAGAAACCAGTTTGTAACACAAAAAGGACAAAAGCTCTTACTGGACGAAAAAATGGATTTGCCCAAATTTGCTCCTTGCAAATATGTCGCATAAAATGTAAAAGCGAGGAGTAAATATGGCGCAAAGATGGTAAATGCCAGATTTGCATACCAAACAAGAGGGAGTCTAAATATAGGCAAATGTGGCATTTGCCATCTTTGCAACAGATTTACTTCTCAGTTTTTATAATTTGCAACATATTTTCCAGAAGCAATTTTTTTTCAAATCCATTTTTTCGTCGACTGTCTATTATCCATCGGTTTCTCTTTTTTACAAGAACTACTAATTTTGATATACACCCATAATAACTGAACATTCCCACCAACCAACCAACCAACAAAGTTTAACCACAAATATCAACCCCTGACCTGTTTCTGCGTCATCCACTCAATTTCGTAGAGTGTTTCAAACCAGAAACTAAACAACAACAAATTATTTTCATGAAGTAATGAAAAATAAATAACACCACGTGAAAGTACAGTCTGAGAGTTTTCATTTGAATAGCCTGGTTTTTCTTTATACGCTCTTATGTGCATTATTTGTTTTGTTCCAATGATGACACTTTGTTGCCCACAAGATGATTTATTGACCATTCGTGTTCTCTAAAAGCTGTTGATTTGTTTTTTAATGCTTGCGGTCATAGAAACAAGCGATTACATAATTGCTGAAGCATTTTAATTTTAACCCTTCATTTAGCACGTGACTTTACTGTCCACCGTTTCTTTAGTACTCATTTATGGCACCATTGCCCAGCTCTCAAATTCGATCTTGAATGTAAGACCCTTAAAAGGAAGGCCATGCCTTCCGAAATATTGGTAACAAATATATATATATATATATATATATATATATAGTATTTCCGACCGTAAAATCAGCTCTGCTTCTTTTGTTCGATATCGAGACAGGGTGCGATAAAACAACTTTAAGCGCGAGATTTCGATCAGTTTGCCAGCCGTCTTAGACTTCTTCACGCCCTCACTATCTGGTCCCGAGACTCCGAGGATGAACAATTTCTCATGAAATTCCCCCCTTTTCTCCTTTTTTTGACAGATGGCAGAAGACAAAGGGAGTAGTCTCCAGCGCGAGAAAAGTACTTGTTCCTTAGGTCCGATTCCGATGTCTAGCTCTAATATCGTCACAGGTGCAAAGTCAACCAAGTCTCACTCTGATAAAGACGCTGAACCTGCAATTGACGATATGAATGCGCCTCGTCTTCGCCCCGAGGTTCCAGATGAAGGATCTTGTAATAAAAAGACCAAGTGTGAGGACGAATCCAGTCTCCAAGATAGCTCTAACAAAACTGTCGAGCCTCGTCACGATTCGGAGGCAGGTCTTGAAAATAAACCTCAACACGATGCCGTGGTTCATTTTGACAGGGGATGGGCGTGGGTGGTCTGTGCTACAACGTTCTTGATGGAGTTTTTCGTGGGAGGGCTTATTACAAGCTCTGGAGTGATATATGCTGCTTTAGTCGACGAGTTTAAGAAGTCAAGAGCCGAAACAGGTGAAAGTACATTTCAATATTCTGGCCTCGGTTGCTGAAACGCTGGATAGTGTGATCCACAGGCGCGGATACTATAATTACTATTCAGCGGATAAGTACTAGGGGAGCCAATTGCGCTATCCAGTGGATAGCGTCATCCACATTTTGAACAACTGGGACCAGATGTTGACTTAAAATGAATTACTTAAGAAACCCGCCCCAAGCCAGCCTGTGGAAACGTCATTCCCTGTAGCAAACAGTTCTATTTCGAACTGCACTCAGTCAACAATAACAACAACAACAACAAGCTATCTGTTTAACTCGCATAACTATATAAACAAATGACCATTTATTATATACATACTGAGTTAAATTCACTGAAAAGCTCTGTCGTAAACTTTCATAAGCAAATTAGTTCTAGCCTATAATAAAAACAAAACCTGCTTATAACCCATGAGAAAAAATAATACGTCCAATGAAAAGTCATATAGAGGTTCGTTGGTTTTGCGCCAAATTTCCTGCCTTTTATAGGGGCTTAAAAGTCCCTCGCTTCACAAGTTGTTTCGCCGTCATTCAGCAAGGAAACTTTTGAAGTCCATAAACCCGCCCACTTTAAGAAGTATTCTATATACTCAACCTACCTTTTTATAATTTGCTTTTCAGCTTGGGTTAGTTCTCTTGCAGTATCCACGTACTACTTATTTTTTCCACTCGGCACCATTCTCAGCGAACGCTTCGGATGCTGGGTAGTGGCCCTCCTTGGTACCCTGGCCTGTTCCATAGGCTTACTAAGCTCATCTTTCGTCACCAGTCTCCCGATGTTGTACTTGACCTACAGTGTGGTGTGGGGAATGGGTGCGTCCTTCGTATACTTTGCTGATTTGTTGATTCTGACGAAGTACTTTAAAGCGAGGCTAGCGTTTGCCAATGGGATAATGGCCCTCGGTGGTGCAGTAGGTGGAAGTATTTTGAACCCCACTATGCAGCAAATGTTTATTCATCTTGGACTTGCAAACATGTTCCGTGTTCTCTCCGGGGTTTTTCTGATCTTATCCGTGTTTTCTCTGGTTTATCGGCCAAAACGCGGCGTCTTTCCGCGTAACGGTGACGCTATGGACACTGAATGTGAGAAAAAGTGCACGTTTGACGGGGAAATCTTGAAAAATAAAGCGTTTATCATGTGGATTGCTGTCATTTTTATCTTCATGCTCGGATACATGGTCCCCTTTGTTCATTTGGTGAGTATTCTTGTAACAACGTCTTTATAAGGGGCCACTACCCACCATATATAAGTAAACTGAATTGACCCTCTACTGCGATAGGGATACTAAGGGACACATTATTCACAATTGAAAGTAGTAGGATTTTCCATTTCTCATCCAGAACTTTTATAGGGATTCTTAATGCCTTATCTTCTTTACTTACTTCTCTATTGAACAAGCTCAAGGCCTCTGAGGGGTACACTGAATGCCAGACGTCATCTCGCTCATAGTGCTGAAATGCTGCTTTTTTTCAACAGTCGTCGCCCCAAAGAGAAAAAATCCTCTGGCGCCTAGGGCACCAGTGGGGCTCATCTACAATCAACTATAATTTTTTGATTTTTGAGCGATCTTTCAAAAAAACTGGCGTCAGTTTGTTTAAAGGACGGAAATTGTCAACTTTTAGGGTTCGTCGATACAAACAAGACTTTAATGGTTACTGAAAAGCATAAAGTGCTTACACACTCACAACCATTATTAATAACCAAAACAATCCTAGCCTGCGATCAAGCTCTCTCGGGGCTTCCGGAGGTACGAGGATGTGAGGGGGAAGGGGGAAAGGAGAGCTTGCACTCGCGTCCCATACATTTGAAGACTTATCTACCTCCCAGAATGGGATGCAAAATGCTGATTGGCTGAGTTGTAAACAGGCGATGACATAATTCTGTCTCGAAAGAGCTTGTTCTCCTTCCCTTTTCGTCCTGCCGCAAGAGTGCCCTAGAGAGCTAGCTCGTTAGCGAAAACAATCCTAAAGATCTTTTTTTTCTTTGGTTTTCAGGTTCGCTTGGCTGAGGACATTGGAATTGACAAGACACGTGCGTCCCTTCTGCTTACGTTCGTCACAGTCGGTTCGGCACTGGGTCGTATAACCTTCGGTCGAATCTCAGACTTCCGTGGCTTTAATCGTGTGTACGTTGCCCAGTTGGCTTTTCTGGTTGCAGGATTGAGCAACTTTGTTGTGCCTTTGACGGAATCGTATAATGTGTTAGCAGTAGGAGCCTTTATATTTGGTCTGTTTGGAGCTTGTTACCTGGTTCTAAACCCAGTCATCGTGTGTGACATTCTTGGCCCCCAAAAAGTGTCCTATGGTTTGGGCATTACTTTTTTTGTAATCGCTATCCCTCGGACTTTGGGGCCACTCATCGCCGGATGGATTTATGACGGGTTTCAAAGCTATGCACTCGCTTTCTACACTTTGGGTGGTACTACCTGTCTATCCGCCATTTTGACAGGTATTGTTCCAATTTTGCTTCGCCAAATGGGTAAATATGAAATGGACTGTGAATCCGCGCAGAAAACTCAAGTCGAACCGGTCATGTACTGCAACAGATCTAAAAACTTCAGTATCTCAAATTAAGAATATATCGAATTTGATAATCTGGGTTAACTTTGTTCAAAATTATTATACTGGTTTATTGTCTTTTCTTATTGTATTTTGTCTTTGATTCTTAACCCCATGGAAATTAATATCGGCATTTCCATTGGTGAGGGTACAATGATTAAACCACATGCGTTGAGCGAAGTTTTGTAAATACTACTTCATCACTGAACTTGTTTACAACCGACCGCTACCGTGATGTTATTTACAGAGCCGAGGAAAGCATCCCAACTTGGTTTCTACAATGACTGTACAACTTCCAATTACTTTTATCTAGTCATATGTCAGTATAAGATATAGTTGGGTATAGTTATGTAAAATTAGCTTGTATTTAGATTTCTAAGTCGTTAATTTTTTTAAAAAAGTTTGGAATCTCAATTTTTAGAATTTACCTCTAAAAATGCATTAAAAATGCCGAGAAACTGAACTGACAACTGAAGCAATATTGAAGAAGGTGACTCGAAATCGTAAGTAAGTCACAACGAGACAGAGAAGTTCATCACTGGACCGTGTCAGTTTTGGATATCTGATGAAAAACTCTCTCTTGCTGAATCCTTCATTTCTCTGGCAAAACCGTTTAGTTAGAAAAGTTACTATATCGAACGCTACACATGGTGTTTTATCACAATAACAACCAAATAAAAGCTCGCGATTAGTAATAGAAAATACTGCGTAACGCATCTCCTCAGTATTCTCCATTTTTGCAACCTTCCTGTGTTTGATAAACTATGAAACACCATGTCGCGTGTTTGATATATTAATTGAGATTTTTAGATACTTTTGCCTCACTGGTGATTAGTTAAGCTTGAACTGAAAAGTACCCTCAAGGACATGAAATGTTTAAATCTAGAAAGCTTGAAAACATTAGTGTTACAAATTTTAATTTACGTTTGATGTATGGCGCTGGAAGGTAGGCCGTGCGTTCCACTCAGTCGTACATTCAAAGCAATTAATAAGACAGAGTGCTTGATAGATTTAATAAGATAACTAAAATATAAATATTAACGGTAATAATTTCTGTTCAAAACCAGTCGACCAAGTTTTTGACATGTTTTCTAAAAATCCTTGACAACTTTTATAAATTTAAGTTCAATTAAATCCAGAAACAATCAAGACCCTAGCCTGTACACAGACGTTGTTTTATTTTTATTTTTCGTTCTTTCCGAAAACATCATGATGTCTTGCATGTAGAGATGAGCAGGGCTTCCATTTCAATATTTTCATATTACACAACTCCGACTGAAAAAATCTTGGATTGGTTGGCTCAGCATCGTTTGGAACATACAGTTAAGGATTAGAAAACATGTCAAGAGATTTGTCGATCGAGAAGGACACGGTAGAGCTGACATCACTGTATAAAGACACTGAAGCATATCAAAGTCATGTTTCCCACCTACTTTGATCGTCGAAAATTAGGGTCTTGTAAGAGTAGAAATGTCGGAAATATTAAGACGTTTATCATACCATCACTATTGACGAGTAGTAAATATATTTATTGTTTTAGATTTGGAAGTACTCTAGATAAGAGGAAATAAAAAAAAGGCGTATCAAAAAACTGTTTCTTGACTCTTTCATTGTGATAGGCAAGCCGCGGAAAATTTGGACTAGTGTTAAGATTCAACTAAAGCATTAATTATAGACTGTTTTCAAACTGGGCATAATTATAATATAAAACGTTAAAAGTCTGCAAAATAGTAAACTACAAAGTATATTGACAAAAATAAGACGTAGGCCATTGGAAACAACTTCCTGCAATGCTGATCAATGTCACACCGCTGTCGCTGATGCACGGACGCTTGCCCTATATTGACGTCGGAATCAAGCTTTCCGGAAAATCGTGATGAAAAATTACTCAAGAGAGAATCGTGTTTTCCGTTATGACGTCTTTTCTACAAACCAAATGACAGTAAAAAAAGTTATAACTGTAAGGACAGGGTTTTATGATGATGCTAATGATGAAAACTACTTGGAATCTCAGTGGTCAGCCTCGAATTTCATTTCTCAGCTGCTATCTCCCGGGGGTGGGTAGGGAACTCCCAAAAAAAAGTGACGGGGATGCTCTTCGTCTCGCCTAGGGGTGGAAATTGCAGATTTTTAGGTTCCACGTATAGTGGTGTGTCCAAAATAGCCATCGGGATAACGGGATTGCGCGAAAATTTGGGTCGAAATAACGTGAATTCGCGAAAATTTAGGTCGGGATGACGGGATTGCGCGAAAATTTGGGTCGGGATACCGGGATTGCGATAAAATTTGGGTAGGGGTGAAGGGATGGAAGAATCCTATTGGAACCGTCTTACCAAGTAACTCGCGCAGCAACTCCAAAAATAATAAAACATTCACCTGAAATTCTACTTGTTTTCTTTCAAAGACTTGATGGAACGTATCGCTTTCTCCACTAGTTATTTCCAAGTTTTCGTTTTCCTCAAATATCATGGTCGGTATAACTCTTCTTTGAAAAAACCCCTTTAGATTTGGATTTGCTCCTGATGAAAACAAATTAGAGAATGTGCAAATGATAGCATACTCGACCAAAGCGGCAAATACGAAAATGAAACTACCCATCAAAAACACATCAATTGCTTTCACGTGACCAACTCGTGGCAGGGAGGCTTGGATCCCAAACATAAGCGTCGTCAAGGCGAGGACTGTCGTGATTCCAAGGGACACTCGAGCGGGTACCGGTCTTTTATCGATCCAGAAGCTAACCCAGCTTAGTGCCACGATCAAAATGGTCGGAATAAATTCTTGAAGAAGGTAGAAACCTAGTTGTCTCTTGAAACGGAAAACTGCTGCCAGTGTACTGAAATTCCCTTAAACGAAGATAAATAAAACCATTATTAATATGTTGTAGAGCAAACGGGTAATGGTTATAATTTTACTTTCGCGGTAGAGTTGAACTGGGGACATGAATGTCCACTTTTTTAGCCATTATGTTCGGGGATTCGTTTTGAAGGTAAATACTTTATTGGAACATTTTTAAGGCCTTCCGGTTTATTCCCGTTCTTTCAGATGTTATCGAGACTTTTCCAGCTCGATCAAATTTTGGGCAAATTTTCCTCGAGCTGAATTATTCTGAAGTAGAGATCGCAAGACCGAACTCACGCTATACACAAACACAGCCACAGACAGCAAAGGAATTAATATTTCAAATAGCAATTGCCATGGTAGCTGCTGAATCACCCTAATATATTTCAACATTACTCTCTTGTATTAAAACAAACAAAAGTCTGGGTGACTAGTCCCTGGATGCGTGATAACTCATACAGGGATAACTGTTACATACTGAATCAGTACCTGTAGCATACTCGTGAAGAGAAGATTTTTGTCGCCAATCCAACAGCGTGAACTGAGGTATCTGAACCTTTTTGTCTATTCGTACGGATTCTTGATTTAGCCAGGAGTAGTAGATATCCTCATCATTGTACGAATCTAAGGAAGGTAAATAAGCTACCAGGATAAACTTTGCACGTTGCAGATTGTTTCAAATTTTTGCACTTACAACGTAACCAAAAGCATAAGGTTGAGTAAAACTGGAAGGGTTCATACTCTTTCTATTACACACGATATTGTTACAGCATTCTCGTCTCTAAAGCTGCGATCAATGGCCAGCGCCAAGGATCGAGAGTTCTGTCTAAGGCCGAAGCAGGAAGTCCGCAAAACATGGACTTCGGGCTTTCTGCGCAGACTCAGAAATTTGAAACAAAGACAATCTCGTTCCGATCGCCTGTTCCGCTGGATAAGGGTAATGCAGGCGCTGGGGGGGACATTTAAACAATAACGGACCATCGGTTACAAAAATGGGAAACTACAGTACTGCGTTTGTGTGTTATCCTGGTTCCAGGCAGAACTCTCAGTGCAATGGTGCTGACCACGAGAATCGCAACCACATTGCTATGGCAGTTCTGAATATAAATGTGAAAAAGTAATATTTTGTATGTATTAAAATACTTACAGCTTTCAAATACCATTTCACAAATTTGCTGGTCCATGGGAAATTTTCGCAAATCCATAGGACAGTACAGACGAAGTGATTTCCTGAACATAATTAGACAAAAACGTGATAACAGTATCTTCTTTATAGCACTACAGTAAACAGTTAATTTATTGGCAAGAGTGCCAATGGAATTTTTTTCAAGAAGTCAACTTTTTCAAAAACATGTGAAAAGAATTAAGTTTAGAAGATTGCTAAGCACCTGTGACTGTACGTAATACGTCCTTCTTCAGTCAGTTGAAACAAGAAATCTTTACTCGGCTTTGCATCGCTCAAATCATTTCCAAAAATAGTGTCCGGTAGCCAAACTTGATCGACGATGTTCCCGAGGAGCCTCATCTTTGGAATTCCCAGTGAAGAACCATATGCTAGACGAGGATCAACCCAATGTTGACGGAAGAACATAACGATCGTCACCTCCTGGAATTTAAAAAAGCCATTATTTGCTGAGACGATCATGAATGGAAAAGCGCAGGCGGATTCCAGAATTGGCAAGAATGATATTTGGTCTGGACGAAAGGGTTCAAAATACTGCAAAATACCTAAACACGGCACAAGCGCAAATATGCTTCTGAACTTGTCTTTGGCTACTTATGTTCACCCGTTCCTTATCATGACATATCCTTTGAGATATTCTTCGCTAGTAAATGGTCATAGATTCTGTGCAGATTCCAATTTTTAATGCACCATTTTACCCAGTGCCCTTAAATGTGCAGATTGGCGTTTTTAGAGCACTAAAGTACCCTGTGGCCTAAAATGGATGATCCAGCCTGCCCTTGCCCCTTTTCTGGGAAAGGGTTGGCGTCTCTCTTGGTAACATCAAAGATCACGGTAAAGTCCAGGATTGACTGAGCCGAGTATGCCTAGCGACTTGGCTGGATAAGATCAGGATTCGCTTCTGACGAAGAGCTAGTGGTGGAGACGTCAGCTGTTCAATATTTTCTTCATTGGTAATTGACTTTATCCACTCTCGATAAAACTAAATATTTGTGACCATCCAAGCATCTACAGTCGAACTCCTCCACAATGGCCACCTTGGGAACAGAAGAAAGTGGCCGTTGTGGAGAGGTGGTCGTTAGTGGAGGTTTGACTGTTCTACCATAACAAAGACCGAGAGAGTCTGGGCAGTGGCCTGGGACAAAATATGTCGGTTTACACTAAGTTCTACTTCGAACCCCTATAACACTGCCTGAATTAAAGCTCGAAGCGATGACATGTGTGAAAAACATGCGACAGCTGCTAAGCGCTGGAAAATTAAATGGGCACGACTCGCCAAGCTCGGAACTGTCGGAAGTCACCAGTTACTAGTCGCGGGAAAACATGCAAAACTGTGATGCCAAGAGCGTGAACGTGGGGATCGGTTATGTTAATATCTACTGAATACAGAGTTGTCTTTCATGATTGGAGATACAAAAGTCGTCACATTTGTTGAAAAACTTGTCACGTTACGCCCTCTAAAATGTTGAGTCATGACCTTATTTGCTACCCATTTGAAAAAAAAAAGGCTAGTCTCAACACTGGCGAAGGGAAGAACTTAGTAGTACACACAGATAAAAGATAGATAAGTCGGTTGAGAAGGTGTTAGGTGGAAAAACCTCAGTTTTAGTCTGGTATTTCAACAAAATTTGACGAGTAATGTAGTTGCTAGCGAGAAAGACAAAACAGGGACATAGTTTCGGTATCTTGATTAAAGGTAGATGATAAACTTACCATATCAATTTCCTTAATGGGAACCATTGACAACACGTGCAAGGAAATGTTGATTTTACATGGAGTACCTGTAAGCAAGACCAAAAAAATCACTTTTATTGCATGTGCCAACTGCGGTTTCTAAGCGCAAGAGTAAAAACCGTATTTGAATAGACTGCATGCATCCATCAATTTCTTTAGAAATGAGATGTCGTTTATAGTGATTTTAATATGGTTTAAATTACGCTGAAATTCAGTTTAACTGCACATTTGCATTAAAATGATATAGATTAGCAGTTATATACCTCCAAAATCTGGCCGCAGTCTCTTGTCATAGCCAATCAACATCTTTTCTAACATCATGGAAGTGCGAGCTCCCAACGTTTTGTTTGTGAAATCACTGAAAAGCGAAAGGGTTGGCTAGCTAGCGTACAGTTTCTAGTTGAAATTGCTACAAATTGGCCAGCTTTACTTAACATCAAACTGAAGCTGAAATCATTCAATCTTACGGCAGTTCTTATTAAGTAACTTTCGTTAAATCAAATCTAAAATTGATTTATTGGAATAACCATAACAGATGCTGCATAATCCGTAAAAGGAGACAGAGCTTAAAACTGGGCAAAAACATGGTAGTTTACGCAAAGTGCTCCGGCAAAAAAAGATCGAAAAATAACCTCGATCCTGTTTCTTGTCCCTCCTAAACTGTGCATTGCAGCCAGCGTGTAAATTGCAACAGATACTATAACATTTTGTCACCCGAAGATTTAATAGAATTGAATAGAGGGATAACAAATAGAGTCTGAATTTACTGTATTAGAATTAATGCTTCATTAAACTTTTAGTATCGCAACGGCTGAAGTACGCAACATAAGGCAGAGTCACGTAATAAAATCAACAATTTTCTTTGAAACTAAAAGCAAACGCTTACCGATCCTTAACCGTAGAATATCATTAACTTGACATCGGCTGTTAAGTAAGCTGAACCTTTTTTTGCAGAATTAAACTGCAATAAACGTGTACCTACCTGTCTGAATTCCCTGCTGCTTCCAAAATGACCTGGTCGACAAAATACAGCCACAAAAGAATGCCTAAGACAGCCATTTAACCTACAAGAGAAGCCGAAAGTTGTGTCTGGGCTTAAGCCAAGAAATTTCTTGAGGCTGCCAGTAGATGGTCGGCACAGAAGAAAGTTTTCAGAGAAGAGATATGGAACACAAAAAGACTAATGAAAAAATGATAAAAGCATGTGATAGAACAACAAGAGAGAAAAACTGACCCCAAAGTTACTTTCAGTAGAGTAGCATATCGCGTAGGCTAGCTCATATCTATCTTTAAAAGCTTTTTTACAAAATCCAAATCTGCAACAACAACAAAGTAAATGGCATATTTACAAGAGAAGAAAAAGTTATATGTTTACATTTTTCTCATAAAACAGGCAATGTGGTATAACTGAAAATTAAAGAACTTGGAACATAGGCTTAGTACCGAAGTCGGAAGGTTAAAGTTTCGAAGCAGAATCCTTTGGCGTCGCGAAATGTTGGATGTTTCTCAGGCTAACTCCAAGGAATCGTTTCAGAAACACAGTCAGACGTCTATGAGCGACCACATTACAAAAATAGCAGTAATTCTATCCTGCAAGCATAAGCATTAACGTTGGAAGTTTTCGAACGTTTCGGGGTGACAGTTGAACAATTTGCATATATTTTACCTACCTTGCCAAGGTTACCTGTTCGCTCAGGACAATGATATTTACGTCTCCCAAGCGCTAACGATTAGTTCCGTCCAATCATTTCACAGAAAAGCTAATCCTTTTCTTGCCAGTAGAATATGAGCAAAATGTATGGTTTTTAGTTGGATTTTTAAGCTGGTTTTGTTTTTTTATTGTTTACACGTTTTTTTGCATTGTTAGTTCTTTGAATTAGTCATTTAAAGCATCCAAGATAATTCCCCGCATTTGGCTTTACAAAATCAGATTTGAATTCAAATTTAACGCTTACGGCTTGTGTTTAATCCGGCCCACAATGAACAACTTGCTTCTTTAACACTCTGTGGATACTGTGTGCAAACGATTCATGATTCATGTACGTGACATTACAAAAGTCGCCACCCTGTGCAGGGACTGCATCAACGTATTTTCGTAAATTTTTTTTAGTTTTGCCATCTATGCACTGTGAATAACACTGGCAAAGAAATTACTCAATCTTGATACAAAGGACACAAAATCACAGCTTTATAACAAACAAATTTTCATTTTCTTTTTATGTCAGTCGTGTGATATAAGTATATTTCTATCTAATTTTCGATTAAATACTTCATTTTTATCATTGGAGTGATAAGACAAATACGTTTTAACTTATCTTATCATCGAACCACCGGCGGGAATCCACACCATTGCGAAATACATCGATTGGAGTTTGCAAATGATCGAAATTGATGACAACTTGTTAAAAATATTTCGCCAAAACTAAATTGAAGATTAGCGTACCTTCAAAAATAACCCGCTTCCGCGAAAGAAATCGCTTCTCGATATAATTCACACGCAAACTAAGCGATAGTTAGGAAAAACATCTGCTAATGAGCTGAATATAATCATTTATCTTTTTGGTACTTTTTAGGGCCCGCTGTTAATTGCTTTCAAAGATTGAAAAGATTGAGAAGCCGTGAGCAGGTGGAAAAACATATTATCGTGTCTACAATTCCACGGGGGTTGAAATTTGTGGTTCATTTCTTAAAGCAAGCGCCGGGAGAGCAGAGGAACGCACTTGTTTCCTTAAATAATATTTCAAAAGTAGGTTGAGTTTGATCGTCCGGGTGAACGTAGTCCTGAATAGGACTGTTGTTGTTGACAGTGACTGACGTTTCGACAAGGTTTGGCCTTTTTAGGATAATTGACTTTTTCCCAGACCAATTTAGAAATATACAACCTCACTGGCGTTTATCAAGTAGTATTTCGGTGAAACTTTTTGCAATTGCATCGCTGACATTGCTCGACAACGACATTGCACCCGTTTAGATATTGCGTATGCGTAATTACTCCTCAATTAAACACAGCTTAATGCTTAGCACGCTAGGGCACCATTTATTTTGTTTCTTAATGTTGATTAGACTTGAAAAGAAATATTAGAAAATTTACTTCGAATTGACAATAATTTTCAGTCAGTGACACAAGTGACTTACCAATGGCGCCGAGTCGACACCAACAATGTTGTACTGCTGTGATGCGCTGAAAATCATCGTTGCCAAACGACGTTCCCGTGTAACACAGTGGCGGATCTAGGGGGAGGATGCAGGGGGTGCGCACCCCCCCCCCCGCCGAGATGACCTGCGGTTTTCTAATACAACTGGTATTCT